CACAATGAGCCCTGCTCGATTGCTTGCACCTAGCACTTGTTATTTTCACTGCAGTAATGTTTGCATGTACTTTATTGGACCCAGAATGTCACTTAGCCTTAGCGCATAGGAATGAAATTTGAGATTTTGTACTAGAGTGGATGATCTGAAAATTTTCTCTCTGCTGAGTCTAAGTGGAAGTAATTTTGACTTTACTTTACTACTTTACCAATACTTTTAAAAGTAATCAGTGACGACAAGATTGGATACAGAAGAAGTTCTCATTTTTAAGGTTCTGTACTCAAAAATTTCATTTTTCATAAGTTTGTTCGTAAGTCTTGTACTAAAAATCTTGGAGTCGTAAGGCCCTCTACCTTTAACGGTTTTGTTTGGAACAACACAATTTAGGAAGAATAAATTATAGATTTTCTATCAGTATTGTGTCAAAATCAAATCAAAAATTTGTGCTGAATGGATAACTTTATAATGCTCAAAGTTATGATTATGATAGTTATCATGGTGAATAGGACCTCCGTTTATTCCATTGATATCTCAGTTTTATTTTGAAATTTATCTTTGATATTTATGCTAATATAATGTTTGTTATATTTTGCAGAAAGTAATCAATATAAATTCTATTTTGTTGCATATTGTGAGTAAATTTTCAAGTATTTTGCTGTAACTTATGAGCCAATTTATTGTTAGATGCCAGGCTAGTTATGAATTTTTTCTTATCTATCATCAAAGTCTTTCGGACTGCATTTTTACTACATTTGCAAGAGATTTTTTCGAATGAAGGTTGCCACAATCACCCTTTTTGCAAGAGGATAAATTTTTTGTGACTTTTTAACAAGATTTTTCAGCCAACCTTTTACTTTTCCATAAAACCTCCGTAAAAAATTAGAACTCAAAACTGCTCGTATAACTATCCCCACTTTAATTATCGCAGCGTTTCTTGTCGTTAATTCAATTACGATGAAGGTCACATTTTATTGGTGCGACTACACCAGCTACACCTTTAGTCTCTCGTGAATTTTATGATGCTTTCGTTGTGTACAGATGATTTCGTTTATTTGGACGGAGAAAGTTTTAGTGTGTGTGGAGCAGAGGTCACAATAGCGAACACTATCCCACAATTCTTTTTTATCGACTTTCGACATTTTTCCTTGCCAAAATGATTTTCAAAGAGATTTAGCAAAGAGAATCTCCGTACCCAAATATTTTTTGCTAAGTCTATGGTTTTCTTTTTATATAATAAAACTCAAAGCTTACCAAACAAATGATTTTCAAAAAAAAAAACGAATTATGGAAAGGTGGAAGTATTTTGAATAACCTAGGCCACTAACCAGTGCCCCAGTTCCAAAATGAAAATAAGAATGATTGATTACCCTATTTACATTTGAATGGGGCAATGAATTCTGGATAAAAAGGTTTGTGTGAAGAGTTCACTGACAATGCGCACGTTAACAACTGGCATTTTTCTTACTGTCTGAACATTGATTAGACACATCTTGGTTTTCTCTTAACATCTTTACTCTTCTAAACCATCTCAATTTTGATTTCGAAGGACCTAAATATGGTACAAAGTATTGTTTGCTCTTCCCCGAAACATTCTGCGTCAAATTCTCCATTTTTTGCTGAGTGTTGAAGCTTTTGTTTTCCTAATTTTTTTGCTTGCAAAGAGAGACTTCTGTTGCTCTGTTTGAACTCACTCTTCAGTAGTGCAAATATTTAGAAAAACATGAGTGACAGCTTTAGACTGTCAGCAGCACGGTAAACCCATGAGTAATCAAGTTAAATTAGTGACTAAGCCACCGAAACCTGAAGAATTATCGGAATCGAGCAAAAAGTCTTTCCTACTTTCTTTTTCTTCAGAGAAGCTACGGGTGATTCAGATGTAAGAGCCAGAATTTCACTTTCCATAAGATTCAAATAATTTATTTAATGGCTCTGCCCTCCAGAAATGGGAAAAGCTTTGTGTTAGGCAAATTCCCAACTGCTCCATGAAAAACCTTCCAAAAAACTTTCCTTCGGTCTATTTGTCTGATTAGCTGAGCAACGAACATCTGTTGGTTATGTGTGTCCCTGCCATTTTCCACATTTTGTCTAATTGCGCCGTCGCGCTCCCTACTTCGTAGACACACAAAAAGTAAAGAAAATTTACTTATACGAATTCAGAATCCTTATAAAAATGCTTTTCCAAAAACGTCATTCACATATTGGTTGCGCAGTAACTTTGTTTAATTATTGTGTCTAAAAATAAATGGCATCTTTTTTTTCACTTTAGGTGTACCATGATGGTGGGTATATATCTAACAAGGTAACAAATAATAGAAATAATTCGAATAAATTTGTGGGTGTATGTGACTACGCCTTTCAACATGATGGACCATATATTTTCTAAAAAAGAGTCGTAAGACAGGTGAATCGATCTGATTTCGATAAATGGCATTGTTTAAATTCAAGGGGAAAGACGTTCACCACTTTCTCAAAAAAAATTTCCCATTTCCAAATTGAGTGGATGGTTGTGAATTTTCAAAATTACATATATCGCACATGAAAAATCAAATTTCTGAATTTTTCAAAATGTCTCTGCATAACTTTTGGCAAATCTCCAGCTTGCTTTATTGAAGATAGACTCCCAAACTGCCTTCATATTAGTACTAATGTCCCCAGAAACCCAGAAAAAAATCTGAGAGTTTAAAAAATAAGAATGAGAGGATTCTCAAAGGAAAACGAAAAAAAATGGAATTTGAGTGCCGTCGCAAGATTGCCTTTGATTTTATTGTAATTCATATCTGTAAAGGTGGAATGATGTCATTAGATTGTTCTTTGTTCATTGCACATATATGCCAAGTATTAGACTTTATTAAAAGTTTCTAGAGTTTTCTAGAGGAAATTGAAAAGAGTGCCACGAAACTTACGACGTGATAAACACATTTGTATCTCGTATCTCATCTGGATTATCGTAATTTGAAATCATATAAAACTGAAGCTTACGGGCGTTATCTATAACGATATCTCTAATGTGACTCATGCGAATCTTTGAATTTTATACTGCCATGAATTCTAATATGCATATGGGTGCTGTACGGAAACGGACAAAGGAACTTTTAGCTATGGAAACAGAAGAGGGGATTTTTAGGTATAGCGATTAGTAGTCGCAATATCATTCAGTCATATTTGCAATGAAATGGTTTGGAAAAAGTGGTATTATAGGCTGGAAATTTATCAAGTTTGTATAATGGGAAATTCAGTTTTTTGACAATATTTTTAGCGGACAATCTTTTTGACTAAGCTATTCTTTGAGGATTTATCGTCATAATGAATCAAAATTTTCAATACTAAGCAGTATTTTTTTTAATTTTTGTTTTTCCATAAACGGAATTCCTCAGCTATGCTCAAATGAAAATCATTATTTATAATGGAATTTGTTAGCTTGGCTGAAGTAGGAGTCGGATTACAAGACTAAGTGCTCTAATAGTTTTTCTGTACATAAAATCTTTTCAACATTTTAGAAGAATAAACAAATCTATGTTGCCATTACTCTCTAGAAACCGCTGGACTATTAGCTCGGCATGTTGTTTTCTAGTCTGGCTTTAAAATGACGTCATAATGCCCTCAAGCAAACCCTATTTATAAAACATTGACGTCAACATTATATCTGGTCGTCATCCCTGAACCCAAAGTGTACGCAGACTTAGGACAAAAGTATATTTTCTGAGACCTTATAAGGGCAAACTATGAATTCTTACATCTTTTCCGACTCCAATTCGCTTCTGTAACTTCTCTTATTGAATTTTCTCATCAATATGGGCAATTTTATTACTGCGTTGCCCGTTTATGCATGCAAGAAGACATCTTTCTTCGTTCCCATCCATTTCGGACATGCGCTTTTTCTGCCACAAACGCATTCGTTCCGACAACGAATTGCTGCGCCGAGTTTTTCCGGCCGCAGTGGGGCATGTGATGCGCTGCATTGGGGAGATTGAGCAGCTTAGCTCTTCATTTTGAGTTCCTTGTTGTTGATTAAAGGGATTTTCCCCTTGTAAGAGAACCAGTTACTTGTGTGCTTTGCGCTGAGCATACTTTTTCATGGGGCTTACAGACTTTACGCTGTAAAAGACGACAAGTACATGAGAACTTCTTTTCTGCAAGTTGTGCACTCGTTGATGGGTAATTGATGATGTCTAGGTAGTTGCTGCTATTCACTTGAATGAAATTCCTCTATACATCATGTGAAAAGTGCAGGCTGTGTAAAATCTGAATTGTTTGCACCCAAAAGCTCGTAGATTTCTCGCTCATTATAGTGTATTTGCGGTGCCGAAATTGGGCGACTAAATTTGCGCGTAAAAATTAGCCAGACTAGTAATGCCGGTATCTTGCGCGCGCATGTGGCCGGCATTACAGGCGCAGTTACCATTCATTCTGTGATTAAGAGAGTCTAACCACTTTATACGCCCGTTTGAACAAGCTTGAACTTGTTGCCCCATGTTTTCAAGTAACAGATATTCCTTGAGGATACGTCACAAGTATAAATTTGTTAATTATACGAATAAGCTTGTTTTGACCATGTGTGAAAAGCGGTTTTGAGCCGCTTAGTAGCAGATGGAGACACTTGTTACGCGCAAATTCGGTCTCCCAATCTTGGCACCGCAACCACACTATATTAAGCGGAAAATCTACTAGGTAATTTTGAACAGCAGCGCGATGGCCTGTTAAGGACGTTGGGTCCCGAAGCGCTATAAGCATGTCTCAGACGATAATAATAATGAGCGCGCACATCCATCGGACATTGTATATTCCTGTAGACTTTTTGAGTCATTTTTATTTGAGATATACTCTCCAATCCTTGAAAACAACACCGAAGTACAAAAATTTCCTATAAAAGTGACCGTTTATAGTCTCTCGCGACAATCGCTCGCTACAGCTAGTTCAAACACGGTTTCGGAAATCTTGTTTACTTAGTCTGTACATTTTCATCAACTTAATTCCTCAAAATCTTTTTTTTTTCTTTCCAGAAAATGCCATTCCTGGGAAAGCTCTTCGACAAAAAGCGCAAGCGGAAGCCAGCAACTCCTAGTGCCGAAGAGGCTATCAACAATCTTCGTGATATCGAAGCTATTCTTATGAAAAAACAAGAATATTATGAGCAAAAAATAGCAGACGTATGTTTTTGACAAGTAATTTTCTTTCTCAAAGCCTCTGATCATCAATATTTCCAGGAGGTTGCAACAGCGAAGAAGCACGGGACAAAAAATCAAAAACTTGCCTTAGCGGCTTTAAAGCGGAAAAAGCATCACGAAACTGAATTGTCACGAATTGACGGGGTAAGGAAAATATTTTTCGGAAGCATGATTTTTTTAGATTTACAATTCATGCCCGTTTTTCAGGTACTGATAAAAATTGAAGCACAGCGAGCTGCTTTGGAAGATGCTGGCCTCAATATGGAAGTACTTGGTGTGCTTGATCACACAACTAATGCTCTGAGACTTGCTAACCAAGATATGGACATCGACAAGGTTTGATTACGATAGTTTTTGAAAATTCATGAGAATCCCTGACAGTCTCGTAGATTTGATGTACAAAATAGTGCTCTTGCGGTGACGACAACATTTGCGCGAAAACGAGTGCCACGCTTGTGAGTGTCGTCAATTTGCTTGTAAATTGCGCGTGGAAATTGAACGTGGAATAACAGTTGAGGCTGTTCACGCGCAAATGTTGTCGACCCAAGAAAACTATATCAAGCGTAAGAGTAATTTATAACGCTGTAGAATCTATAGAATTATACCTAATATGGTTTAATTTCCGCGTACCTGGTTTATTGTAAACATCTGACCTTTTGAGGTTGGTGAACTTATGGATAGCATAGCCGAAGACCTTCAACTATCGGACGAGTTTGCATCGGCTATCAGTCAACCAATAGGCGATGTCGCAGACGAGGATGAATTACTAAAGGAGTTGGAAGAACTCGAAAAGGTTTGTTTACATTCATACTTGGAGCGTGGTTCCGGCGCTTCGTGTTGTTACGCGCGCACCGCAACGCGTGTGCACATTATCCGTTCGCGGCGCGGCGCGTTGGCGTGCAAAAACACGTACTGCACGAGTAAAAACAAAAATACAGATCTTATTCTTCTAGGCCTCGATCGCCGATATCCCGGTTGAATTACCCGAAGCTCCTAGTGGTCCGATTACTCGAGCGCGCGCGAGTCGCGACAAGCTGCGTCGAATGGACACGGAGATGGAGGAGCTGCAAAAATGGGCTGCGGCTAACTAGACGCATTCAGCCGCAATCACGCGATGCTTGTTATTGGTGCATATTATTTGGACATGTCACTTTGTTAAGCTGTTTATGTGTTGATTGCTGATTTATGTAGTTTGCCTTCGTAGCCGATGCTAGCAGCTTTATGCAATTTTAAAATTTTTTGGATAAACATATTTTTATGGTGTTGTATCAAGAAATAAGCAAAGATAAACAAATGGGAAGCGTTTTTGATAAGAGAAATACGTGTTCATTACTGTTTCAGATTGAAAAGAACAAATCAAGGAGAAGTGGGAAGTCAACTCTGCTTTTTTGAAGAAAAAAATTTTTTTGATGAGAAGATGGCGCAGGAATGAAAAATAGATCTTCTCATCGAGTTTTCGAAAAATCGTACTCCAAAAAACGACAACTGCACAACAAATTTTCAAATTTTTTTTACTACTTGCATGACTATGGATGTCCCAAAAAATGTGCCTATTGTTTGCTTGTTAATAATTCTTTTGCCTTGAAGTCTTTCGAAAAGCTTTAGGTGTCAATAGAAGTATTGGGCGAATTACCGTTCTCTCTTCAGTACTGTAGGATTACGGTAGAAGCTTTAAGAAGCGTTTTGCGTCATTGAGGGCCATACTTTACCCTTAAAAAGGATCAAAGAAGGTGAAAACTTCACCGATTTCTAATATTCGTCACAAATTCGAACAAGACATTCAAAAAGCTCTGCGAAGCGCAAAACGTTATGTGGTGAAGTCAGCATGCATGCATTGTTACACAAGTGCAAGATTTTTGGAGTTTTTTTTTCTTCGAACTGCCTAACCTACAGTGGCGGCGTATGCTGCGCGTTCCTACCGTAATCATACAGTAATGAAGAGAATTGGTAATAAGCTCCATAATGTGAATCTAAGTCGAAGCCAGCTTTACAGAGTGGTACCTAAGGCTTCTCGAAAGACTCCTTGAAAGGAGAGTTATTAACAATCAAACGGTGGGCACATTTTTTGGGACACCTAGTAGACAAGTGTTCTGGATCTCTCAGAAGTTGACACATCGCGCTAATGTCTAGGAAATCTCAAATTTTTGGCTGCAGAAATGCACAAGCAGCAAAATCTCCTTGTTCCGTCATGTAGCCAAAGATTGTGAATCACCTGATAGTCAGCCTGCGCACTCACCACAAGCTGAGAACGACACAAGTTCAAAAAGGTGATCTACAAAAGGTAGCTATGTAAGGACATGTGTCATTTCTTGAAGAAGAAAATTTTTGAATATCAGATATTTGAGAGTAGAAGCTTGAAGCTCTTCTCACGGAAAAATCTCGGCCAAAAAGCTGCTACTCTCGAATGTTGTAGAGCTTCGAATTTGCTAGCTATGCAAACTAATAGTCCGAATGAAGAAGGCGATCAGGACGTCATGCAGCTATCATGACTTATAATAACGGGCTAAGGATGTTTACGTGACTTTGTGTGTGTGTCTGTTACGAAATTCATGGAGCGTGTTCCAGCCAGCGTTCTAAGCCCAAATTTTGCATAGCGCATGCTACCTTCATGAAAGTCCAACATGCAAAAGCACGAGTAAATTCGTTGAGTGGATCCCTCGAAATTGTGCGCCAAACGGGTCCACCTGGCTTCTATCAAGCAAAATTGGGTCCGTATCACCACTTTTTGCAGAGTCGTGGATGAGTTTGGTAAGCGAATGTGCAAGCGATGGAGTTTAGCCAGAAAAGTGGTCGAAAGTTTACTACATAATGAAAACGGCGCCAAAATGAATTGGTTGTGTAAATGGTCAACTTGCCAAGGTTCTAGCCAAGCCTTTGAGAGGATTTTCGCACAGAGATGTAGCTCACGATTACTAATACTTTTATGGCGACTACCAAGCCATGACAAATCCAAAAACCTATTCAAATTTGCGTTTGTCTTCCTGCGATAAGTTTCATCCACTCGAAATCACCGATCTCACGTGAAAAGACTTTCTAAATGAGTGGTTGTTTACATTTTATTCGTGGTAGTCGGCGTAGCGCGGTGAGTTCCAGTGCCACGATTTTACGAGAATGAGTAAGGCACATAGATAGTAGAGCCAATGCGAACCTCTGCGAAGCAGAGGTGACGCACTGGTTATCAAAATACTATACTCGCTTGGCTTTTCATACTAATACATGAAACATGATCGCTCCTGATTAGTAGCTATTTCATTGATGCCTTGCCATGTTAGCTGAAAAGGAAGTTGAAGTCGACAGTACGATTCTAATGGAGTTGTTAGCGCGGCTCTGCTGTGGAGCAACAAGTACTTGGATGTCGCATCTAACATCTTACCTTCAGAACGAAAGGATTCCCGACCCATGGAGAACTCCAAGAAAAGTCCTTTTCAAGAAGGGCAAACGGGATAAATCTCGAATTACCCCCAAAACGCCTGTTAAGTGGGTTGTACAAGCTATCCACGAAGATTGCCTCCGCTCGCATATCTGACACTGGATGAAGCCCAGCCCCAAGAACAAGCTCGATTTCGCAAAGGATTCAGCTGCAACATTCGAATGATTGGGTCGTGGAAGTTGTGGAAGTATTGACTGCCTCTTGTTCTAACCTTCGTCAACTATGAGAAAGCCTTTGACGCGTGGAAACCAACACCATCCTGTCAAGTTTAGTCGATCAATAAGATCCAGGAGAAAAATAGCCCTGGGCCACCTTCGGGCCTCTGAAGGAAGCCTCCGACCAACTGGCCCTCATCGTATGTCCGACACAGGAAAAGATGGTGCCCGCTTTGATCTACTTAAAGGCAGTGGCTCGGCAGATGTCAACTTAGTCAAATTTGCGCTTACATGGGGTTTTTCAAAACGCTGATCCCGAAAATCCACTTCTGAAAGCTTGAAAATGGCGAAAATGAGCGTTTTTTAATGCCCTTCCCTTTGATATTGGACGAGTGGAGCAAGCCATGACGCTAAATCGTGGCAGGGTAAGATTGGCCTGCGCGTGTAAGTTCGAGAGCGATTTTCTCGGCAGGGAAAGCATGCTGTGCAACCGGGATTGCACCGTTTTCATAGTTGGGTGATAAGGAACTTAGCGCATTGAAGTCCTGACTTGTTGAGATTTGCCGATCCACTGCCTTTAAGAGACAATCAGCTGATATGAAGTTCAGAAAAGACTGATAGTAGAAGGTAGTACAGGAAGCTAAGCAGCAGGAACTTTTTGAGCGCTACTCTAATGCGCGCTTCTTCCACATCCAGCGTAGCGTTACCGGAAAAAAGTCGCACAGCTAGGAGTGTCGTCGGACACACTCTAAAAACTGCGTCAATCCAGAAAGCTCTCCAAATAGCTCTCCAAATAGGCACTATCCATGTCCGAGGATATGTCACAGCGACGGGCTGCACAACAAAGCGCTTAATAGTAAGGTGCTATTTTGTATTTCTTCGGTTTCGGATAAACTAACAATAAGCAGTGTGATAAGGGCGTGGACAAATAAGGCATTGCAAGGTTAGATGCCACCTAATTTCATGACGCTTATATGCAAAGCATGCGATATGGACTGTGCATCAGCACGAAGACTGTATGTGTCCCGGCGTCATCTATCTGGAAACATGCGAACTGCGAGCAAGAGTAAATCGGAAAGACGAGGAATCATTGTTTGATCTAGGTGTAGTTGGAAGGCAAAATCTAAAAAGATTCAAGTACTCAAAAATCAGATTTCCGCTTAAAAAGCTCCTGCGGATTTCCAAGTTGGTCACGCATATGCTCCCTACATCAAGCATTTGATGCACACTTACCACATTTTTACAACGACTAAAAACCAAAAAATCAAAGCGGACCAAAAATCGAGCCTTTTTAGGATTTTTATGCTAAATTCAGCATTTCCGGAAACTAACTCTTAGAGAAAACTAAAAATCTGTGGTTGTACTTCCAAAGCTTTGTAGTATGAATCTACTTATGTCAGAATGGTTCATTGCATTCGCTAAGGCATGTCAACTTTCATTTTCCAATGCAGGATTATCCTGCAGACTTCAATCTTAGTCAGGCGTATCTGTCCATATAACATTCAGGGCCCGGCACGAGTCGGTTTCTAGGGTTTCTGAATACGAAGTCTCCTTGACTTACGGAAATTTTACGAAGTCCCCTCTGACCTACCTGCTTAGAAGAAGATGAAAACAAGAAAAAATTACTAGTCTGAAAGAAAAACGTAAGATAAGAGCGAAAATCCAAATTGGAGCTGAGTACTACGCATGCACAAGACTTTGGCATTAGAGCGCGATATCTAACAAAGCGAGAATAAATGAAGGCAAAAAACAAAGGAAAGGCAATGATATGAAAATATCTTCATGCTCGGGGATAGATTTTTGACCGGGGAATCCGTCCATGCTAAAAAGATCCGAAACTTATGTGAAGTGACGAAAATATATGCTCCAGACGATCTCAGATCGTCTGGTGGCCATCTGGAGACGATCTAATTTTGGAAAACGTATTACTTCACATAAGTTTTCAAATCTTTTTACATAATACTTTCGCAAATAATTTTCTATACATATAGTTCAATTTTGGTGTCATATGCTTCTGGTGTGCTGTAAACAAGCATTTTGTTTATTTTAGCCTTCCTTTCACATCGCGCGCACTTTTTGCCATGCACGATAGAGCATGTCAATCGTGTGATAACCTGTCCGAAAAGCTTGTGTTCGACTAAATGGCGCTCATTCTTGGTGCTTGGCCCCTATTCGTCAGAAACGATATCTCCTTTGCTGTTTGCTTCAAAAACGAAGTCCAGCTTGCTTCCAGACGATCTGTGCCGGGCCCTGATAACATTCATATGTACGATTGCAATATTTCTTTCCACGATTAGAAAATTGAAAAAGGAAAGTTGACATGCCTTAGCGAATGCAATGAACCACTCTGACATAAGTAGATTCATACTACAAAGCTTTGGAAGTACAACCATAGTTTTTAGCTTTCTCTAAGAGTTAGTTTCCGGAAATGCTGAATTTAGCATAAAAATCCGAAAAAGGCTCGATTTTTGGCCCGTTTTAAGTTTTTGGTTTTTAGCCGTTATAAAAGTGTAGTAAGTGAGCATATAAATGATTGATGTAGGGAGCATATACGTGACCAAGTAGGAAGTCCACAGGAGCTTTTTAGACGGAAATCTGATTTTTGAGTATTTTAATTTATTTAGATTTTGCTAATTACACCTAGATCACGCTTTCGGTGATCGTTTTAGTGCA